ATCGTCATCAGTCTATTTTCCTCATAGCAGTGAACAGACTTGTCTCTACCCTGCAGTACAATGCAGCTCAACTGAGTAGGCTGCTTCACTCTGTGTGCATCCATTTTTAATCAGGGGCTTACTTTATAGCAGGTTTTTAACCCAGCAAATGAGTAACTGTCTTAACGTTTTCATTCAAGTCGAGGGTGTTGGTGATTTAGTTGAGAAAATAGGTGAGAGGTTTGCCACATCAAAGTGAATGACAGCAGCATTTTACTGACAAGTAGAGGATAGATTTTGAAAGCTGACATTTCCCTTGCAAACCATCTTAAAATAGGCCCATTTGTATGAGTACCCAGCAATCCACAAGCAGATCTACCAATTACAGCTGTGTACAGCATTGGGATGTAATGCACAGTCACAAGCAAAGCAGCAGGGTGGTACAAGTCAAGTCATTGATTTAACTCAAAATTTTAAAACATTTTATTAATAGCTAGGGGTTCCCCTGTTCATTTGTACTGATTTGAAAGTGAATTGTTCCAAACACTAGTGTGCCGTCTCTAACTATGCAGTGTTGTGGTCCTTTTCTCTGTATATATTCTGTTCTCCAGATCACTAAAGCTGTGTCTGCAGAGCCCCCTGTCACTGTCCAGATCCCTGTCGCTCTAAAACAAGCTGCACTAAAGACCAACAAAGTAGTCTGCACTTTCTTCAAAAACAACTCCCTGTTCCAGGTAAGGCTGTACCCCTGTTGCACCTCCCATCCCCACAACCCCCAGGCTATCCCGGCTTAAAGAGAGACATGTATTAAGACATATATATATACAATTAATCTGCTTCGAATAATAATTGTAGGATTTTCTACAAAAAAGTATATTTCCCACATTAAAATCTTTAAAAAGGCATCTGCTCCTACCTCATTCATAATTAAAAATAAATAAAATCAAGAAGTCTCCTCCTTCACTGTAAAGTCGATTCTCAGTGCATGTGCACTGGCTGCTTCAAGTTTCTACTTCACACTTGTAGAAGTTGCAAATTGGACCCGATTGACTTCCAGTGAGCACAGAGAAACTTTCCACTTTTCACCATGAATGTGGGAACATCCTTCTAGTGTCAAACTGACAGCATTCTGCACAGTGAAGCTCAAACATCCAAATACCGCAATTTCCAGACTATAAGCCGCTACTTTTTTCACACGCTTTGAACCCTGCGGCTTAAACAATGATGATTTCTTTTGAAATTTAGTTGCTGCGGCTTATATTCAGGTGCGCTCAATAGTCCGGAAATTGCGGTATTCTATTTTTGAGGAGGCCTTTAAACTTTGAAACAGTACACCATTTCCATTGAGTTCTCTGTTTTCTGTGTATAGAAGGCTGCATTATTTGAGAGGACAGGTAAAGATATTGTGTGTATGTGTGTGTGTGTGTGTCTTTCAGAAGGGAGACAAAGAGCACAGGATTCTTCACGACGTTGTGGGAATCACCGTGGAGAATGAGGTCATCACTAACCTGCCTGAGCCAATTCGGATTGTCTTTCACCATGATGTCATACATGTACGTTTGTGCCCTTCTGTCTGTACGAGTGTGATCAATGTTCACCTTATGTTGCCTCAATCTATACTTTCAAATGTTTTTTTTTTTTAAGTAATTCAATTTTAAAAATGTGGTGAAAAAAAAGTCTCCCATCCAAAATTCAACAAGCATTTGATGCGCTGTAATTGAGAATTATCAAGCAAATGTGGCTTTGCTGCAGATGCTGTTCAAAAAGCCCCCTTTCAGTTCCATGACTTCTGATTCAAGCTGTCTACCTCTACACAGAGATCACATAAAACACTTGAAGGGTTTTTCTACCTCAGTTCTTACGAAAACAGATGGTGCTGTCTGTGTGCTTTGGTGTTTCTGTTGCTTCCTCTCTGCAATGCACATATGCCCAATAAACCCACTGCTTGTCATAGTGTATCTATTATCACACTGTGACTTGAACCATCTGTGGTGATGTGGTGACATGCAGCAGATTTTGCATGTAGGACTTTAGTAATGAATGCAACTATTGATAGTGGCTGCTCTGTCAATCACTACTAAATCAAAGGGGGCAGTGAGCTGTTACTTCAAAGTACCTGGCACTATTTTAAAGGTGCTGAAAGCAATATTCTCTTGTTAAAATAAGT